TATTATATTAGATGTTTTAAATATTAAATAATAATAAAAACTGTCAATAAAAATATACTTTAGAGTCCTTTAAATTACATTTAATCAGAAGAAGAAGAAATAAGTAAATGATATATGATATAATATATAATATTATATATAGTTTTTTTTTTTCATTTTTAATTTTATCTGTATTTATGGATATTTTTAATCCAATGTAGAATTAAAAAAAATAATTTTGCCATTAGAAAGATCGTTTACAGTCCCATGCAGTGCATACTACTTGCCAGATACTCCATTCATAGAGAAAATTCACACACTGTGCACAGCATGCAGAAATAGCAGTGGAGGGGTAGTATGCTGTTCTGAACACAACTGGAGAGATGGAGAAATAGTTAGCGAGAACGCGGGAGGAGTGAGTCTTTGCTGCTAGCGGGACTGCCGGCTGGAGCTCGTTCATGCAATATTAAAGCGCTGCTGCATCATGCACCTTATTATGAGGATTGCCTCATCTGTCACTTAGTCCTCTGAGAGCTGCGCCTCTCTGTCACGACTAGTTCTCCGCCATTCACCTCTTTCACTTAGAAAATGGAGAGCTCGGTTATTAATGGCAGATTATTGTATGTCCTCGCTACAATGGCGTCTGAATAAAGAGAAATCTCATTAACACGGCCCGTTAGTGTCAGTCCCTTGAGAAATCCTCTCTAGCGAGCATCGCTTTTGTAGCGGGGAGGATAAATATTTGTTAAGATGCTGTTAAATCCAATTTTTGGTGCTGTTTTGTGTTTGCAAATATCTTTCTGTTGCTTTAAAATGGAGGGCAAGTACAGTGAAAGTTCAGTTATCTGTAAATAAAGGCAGATTTGAGTGAGTGACGGCGCTGGCCACAGTGAGCAGGAAAGCCTTTGAAATACCTTTGGAAAATTTCTGCTCTGCCCATTCTCCTGTTTTATGAATAGTTTAATGATTTTAACAGCGGTAGATGAGGGTGGATCTACGTCAGACTCTGTTATTAATATAGCAGCTAAATGCCACACTGCCGTTTCGGTGAAATAAACCCCAGACCAGAAAGACTGGCAGGTTTTTGGAAAGCCTCAAGACTTTGCCTGTGCCATGTTGACTTTTCAAAGTGTTTCTCTGGGGAAGTTGTCTGAAAATGTGTTTTGTCCTAGTGGAAGCTATTGCCTGCTGAAGGTGTTTTGTTGTGACTGCAGATACACCTGTCCTGAAGCTTGATCTTAACTAAAATGACTTGCCTATTCAACTTTATGGATGTTTGTATTATTTTCCAATTTAATAATGGTCATAACTGAAGGAAAACAACAGATGTGGATCTAATGTTTGTTGTTGTTGTTGTTGTTGTTAAATAACTTTTACTGAAACACTTTTTAAAGGAAAAGTTCATCCAAATATGAAAATTTGCTGAAAATACTCACCCTCAGGCCATCCAAGATGTAGATGAGTTTTTCTTCATTGTAACAGATTTGGAGAAATGTAGCATTACATCACTTGCTCACCAATGGATCACCTGCAGTGAATGGGTGCTATCAGAATGAGAGTCCAAACAGCTGATAAAAACATCACAATAATCCACACCACTCCAGTCCATCAGTTAATGTCTTGAGAAGACAAAAGAAGCTGTGTGTTTGTAAGAAATCGACCATTAAGATGTTTTTAATTTCAAACTTCAAATCTTTCAATGAAGAAACAAACTCATCTACATCTTGTATGACCTAAGGGGGAGTACATTTTCAGCAAATTTTCAAGTTTGGGTGAACTATTCCTTTAAGCTACACTTCATACCTACTGTGAAATCTGATTCATTTTAGATAAGCAGTTTGTTCAAATTATTTGTTTAATGAACAAATAAAAAAACTGATTTGCTTTTTGCTTATAATATAAAATTGCTGTTTCATAATGTCACTCTAACTGACATTTTGAATGTGTTTGTTGCACACATAATTGTTTGTGTATTGCTTCAACATATAACCTTGTAGTGTTATTGCCAAACCAATCTAAAAGAACAAATGGTTTGTGAATCATCCTTATGTATGAATAGAAACAGCCTTGTGTTTTAGGCCTCTTAAGAGCCCGAAAAGCCTTTTTGACTAGCAAGTGATCAAACTAATGAATGAATGCATGATGGCAATGTCATGAATGACAGTCATTGGTTTCCTAAAGCCGCAGTTGAGGACACGGCTTGACCCTCGGCCAGAGAGCCTTTACGTAACATTATGTAACCCGGCCGAGATTCCTCTGATTGACACTGAGTTAACAACAGAACCATTTCCAGCCTGTCAAAATATCATGCTGCTGGGTGAAAGACAGAAAGAAACTTTCAGAAAAGTACAGTGCTGGTATCATGATAGCCATATTCATGTACCATGGTATTTACTTCAGATGTGCAAAGAAAAACTTATTTTAAGACGTCAAATATTTTCCATTCGAGAAGAACAAGTCATCTTTTAGTTTTAGTTTTTTACTAATCACTTATTTACATTAGGGGTTTTTGTCACATCTTATGTTGTTAAATTCATGTTTATTGCATTATTTTAGTGTCAATGTGTTGTTGTTTTGTATTTGTGTGTTTTATAAATGTGTTTATGCTAAAAAGAACATCATTTTGTGTATTTGGTGTAATGAAATGTGTTTATGCGGTTTAAGGTTCAAAAAACACATATTATTTTCCACATACTGTACATTATTGTTTCTCCTCTATGCCCCGCCTTTCTGAAACACGTCGATTTTTACAAAGCTCATCGTTCTGAAAAGCGAGGTGTGCTCTGATTGGCCAGCTATCCAGAGCGTTGTGATTGGCCGAATACCTCAAGCGTGTGACGGAAATGTTACGCCCCTCACCATACTGTGATGCCCTGTCCGGCCGGAGCGACGAGACAAAAACATTCAAACCCATTATAAACGAGGCATTCGTTGCATCCAGTGGGGACATAATAACTGAATATAATGACTTATACTGTCTTTTTACACATTGCGTTGCATCGCGCCGCGTAAACATAAAACTCTGTCTGCATTTGTGATCAGAGAAATGACAAACAACAACCGCTACTCTACACTGCTCAAAACTCACGTTTGAATCGTCAGTGGCAAATTCTTTAAATATGTGAGTGAGAACAGCCGGCATTGTAGTCTACTCTCCCAGGATCAGGAAACAGTCCTCCATAAAATGCGCTGCACACAAATGAATATTTGGGTTGAAGTGTTCTAGAACAGTGTTGTAAATACAACTTAACCACTGATTTCTAGTCGTGTCCTCTTTTGGAAGACCAAACAAAGTAGTTTCGCTTTCACAACGAGAAACACAGAGCAGAGGCGGCGGGCTTGAGAGATCTTCTTTATGCACCAAGAGCTTGTAACACTCCAAAGAGAAAGGAAAAATTTAAATCGAATCATATGACTTTATTGTTGTTGTTTTTTGATGGTTGTCTGTGATATAAAGGTACAAAACAGATTATAGTACTTCAGTAGTTCAATATATTTTTATAATATATTATAATATCATTATGATATTTAATCTATTAAATCGAAATTATTAATATTATTATTATTATGGAACTCTAAAATATATTTTTATTTAATTCTATTTTTTATTTGGTTATATTTCATTAAAAATATCCATAAATATCCATAAATAGATCAAATAAATAAATATATAAAATATGTAAAAAGATTTTGTGTAAAATCACTGTAAAGTTCAATTCGCTTAGTACAGTTTAGTATATTTTTATAATATATTTAATATCATTATAAAATTATTTATTATAATAACATTAAATATAAATAACAGTAATAATAATAGCATTAATAATAATCATTGTTAATGTTATTACTGTTGTTGTTGTTGTACATTGGACTTATTGTATTTTTTATATATATATAAAAAATATCCATTGATAGATCTAAAATAACAAAAAATAAATAAATTAAAATATTAAATATTACATCAACATGGATTACAAAAATATCAATTTATATACGTTTATAATTATTTAAAATAAAAGTTTTTTTTAGATGCAAATTTTGTTAGATGTAAAGTTTAATCCATAAAACCTAAAATGTCAGTACCATATTTTTCATGGTAAAGTTTTGGCAAGCATTTTTTTTTGCCATAAATCTCATGTATTTTTATAGTGCAGATTACATATGTATCAAATGTGAACTATTGCTTTTGTCTTTTGACTGTTTCCCTCAACTTGGGAGAATATATTTAAAGTTATTAAGATATTCTCCAGCTGTAAAATCTCCTGTAGTCCTGTTGTCCGTGTTTCCATGCGGTGCCAGGTCACATCGTGTACCAGGGAGTTGACGGGTCTGAGAGTAGCCGATGTGGAAGCAAGTACCTTGATTTACAGCCTGTCCCGCTGTATACAATAAACCCAGCCAGAATGCCATTTGTTTGGCTTCCTCTCCCTTCAAACCAAAGGAAAATATTCTGCATTTTATTTATAAAAGTCCAGTTTCCCAGGCTCAAGTCCTAAGGCTATTTCGGTGGGGTTGAAAGGGCGTCCCGTGCTCCCCGGCATCTCGTCCTCTGGTGTTTCTCAGACAGGGTGCTATTCTGTTGCGTCCAACACGTTTTTACGTGCGACTCTCGAGCCAACGAGGCCTGTTTTTCGCCACCTGCGGGAACCTCCTACTGTCTGTTAATTAGAGTGTGTAAAGTTTACAACCTTTGAGAAGCTGTTAAGTGGTGAAGAGCGGCGAGTAAAGGCAGCCTGACTGTGAAATTGAATTATGAGCGTGTGTCACTGAACAAAATGGAAAGTGTGAGAGAGAGAGAGAGAGAGAGAGAGAGAGAGAGAGAGAGAGAGGAATCCCTGGAGCCCTGATACTTTCTCTTTCTCTCTCTCTCTCTCTCTCTCTCTCTCTCTCTTTGTGCTGTATTTTTAGTGAGCGAGGTAGTTCACGTAGCCTCACTAGATGCTGAATAGTGCATGGTGAATGGAAAATGTGTTGCACCGTCTTATGTGTGTGACTTTAACATCCCGTCTGTCTGTCCACAGATGCTCCCACAGCAAGAATGGGACCACAAAAGAGGCGCCCGAGGATCTCAG